ATAGTGTTACGACTGCTACTATGTTACTAGGCAATAGTAATTTTTCAGCTTCCTTATAATCTTACAGGATCACCATCATATCTGCTGTCAGTCATTGACCAAAACATCATTATGCAGTGTGTGACTATATTTATTTGACATTTAGTCTGGGTCACTGACACAAATGCCTGTAAACACACACACACACACACACACACACACACACACACTCACTCATACATACCCCTCACATTCTAGCTTCTGCAAGTAGGGCAACCCTCAGCCTTTGGTTCTCAATAAAAAACCCAGAGGTTACCACTGTGCATACTGATATGAACACGGACCCATCTGGAAGAAAGTTTGAGATTGGAAGTGTATCACTGGTAGGGTAAGTAGATGAGCAGGGTGTTTAAAGAGATGTTTGGAGGTTCTTACCTTACTTCTCTGAAGTATGAGATGGGTGACCTCTCAACTCAGCCACTACTAAAAGGTGAGCCTTTGTGTCATCTATGAGATGTCTCATAAGTTGCCAACCCATGTTGTAGAAAATTAAGGAAGAGTAAGCTAGTGTGATTTTTTTTTACTCCAAAATAACCTCATAAATATTTTGCTTTTTATGTTATTCAAGAAACTTTGCAACATTTCCCCTCATCATGTATAATCTAGGGTCTCCAAAAGGCTGTAGACTTTTCCCCCTGAGATCCCTGCTTTTTTTTTTTTTTTTTTTTTTTTTTTGTGACAGGCTGGGGCTTAGATGTTTCAGGATCTTCACTGGACTGTCTTCTTGGGAGGGCAGGCCAGCACGGGTCTTTAATTAAAGGATAAGTTGATAGAACTGGTCACTTGCAGGTCAGCTCTGAAGCCCAATTCACATTCAACTAATCACAACTGGCTGATGTTGAGGATCAGAGAGGGGTGCAGCTGGCACTTCCTGATCTGAGGACGGCTCTTAGAACCAAGGAACTGCCCAATCTCTTAGGGTGATTCAGTGGTCCTGAGACTGTTGATAATATGCTTCAAATTGGCCTATCACTGACATTTGGGTGACTTTGCAAGTTCAGAGCCAGAAGAAAGAATAGTTGTCAAAGTTGGAATTTAAAATTGTGGCCCATTTATACTTGTCCAGAGTACCTATAGTAAATAATAAGTTATTTTAAAACCTGGATGGCATATTCTTTCCAGTGCAGTTGGCCATTCTCTGAACCAGTGACTTCTGTTAGCTACCAATGCTTGCAAAACATTGATTTAAAATGACATTTTTTCATGTTAACACAGTATCAATATGGAAGGAGTAAACTTATAGGCTATTTTTATAATTTGAGATTATCTTTTTTAAGTAGAAAACTTATAATTATCTCATTAATCCCAAGGCAAAAAAGAGCTTTCCCCACCCCTTGTCTGTTAGTATGATAAATTATTTTGCTTTAAACAAGAAAAATGAAAGCTTATAAAAAAAATGTATAAAAGGAGATACATCTTTGGGAGGCCAAGGCAGGCAGGATCACCTGAGGTCAGGAGTTCGAGACAAGCCTGACCAATATGATGAAACCCTGTCTCTACTCAAAATATAAAAATATTAGCCAGGTGTGGTGGCATGCATTTGTAATCCCAGTTACGTGGGAGGCTGAGACAGGAGAATAGCTTGAACCTGGGAGGCAGAGGTTGCAGTGAGCCAAGATCGTGCCATTGCACTCCAGCCTGAGCAACAATGGTGAATCTCCGACTCAAAAAAAAGGAGATAAATAATGTTCAAGGAAAAGCAAACAGAATTACTATAGGGAAGAAGAGGCAGGAAAAGAAGCTTGAAACAGATTAAAAGATTCACTTGTCCTCAAGTGAAAGATTTTTCATCAAGAAAAATGAAGAATTATCAGACTTTAGTTATATAAACCACACAGGGTTAAGGGAAATGCTCATGTTCACCAATCCTAGAACATTAGAAATACTTTAAAAGAAATACTGTTTCATATTTGTGCATATTTGAGAGTCTCAGATCCCTAAAATGAACTTGGTAGCAAATACAGTTTAAACAGGAAACCAAAGATCGCAAATACAAATATGTATGTCACTATTTCCATTTCTATACCCATAGCAGACATTATCAAGTGATCAGGTAGTTGTTTCCAACTAGATATGCACTCTGAGATCCTTTTCAGTAGATGACCCTTAAGATGAAACCCTCTTTCTTTACGTGGTTTAACTTTGCTACTCAAAGTGTGATCTTCAGAACACCAGCATGGTCATTATGCGAGAAGTTACTCAGAAAGCAGAATCTAAGTCCCATTCTAGGCCAACTAAATCTGAATCTGTATTTTAGCAAGATCCCCGGGATTCTTATGCATATTAAGGTTTAAGAAGTTCTGGAGGTATACTGAATGCATGATATATTCATTAGGGCAGAAGATCTCAAACTTTAGTATGCATCATAATCACTAGGATAAACACTGTTGAAGCACAGATTGCTGGGCCCCATCCCCAGAGCTTTTCATTCAGTAGGTCTGGGGTGGGGTTTTCAAACAAGTTTCCAGGTAATGCTCCTGCAGCTCCACGGACCACACTTTGAGAACCACTGCATTAGGGCCATGGGAATACTTTGGAATATCTCCCTGATCGTTAGAAGCTGAAGATTGTGATATCTTTCCACAACTCTTGGTATATTGGTCAGAACTAGAGTTCAAGGCAGGCAGGAGAGTCCCAAGGTTTATGCATAATATTTTGTATGTCCTTATGTTCCTAAATCTAGGAGACAATCTCTCCTTCTTGAGGGTTGATCCTAGGATCATTCAATCATTCATTCAGTAACAATTTTGGGTACCTATTCTGTCCGCAGCATTATACTCCATACTGAGAGGATCTAAAGATAGTTAAAGCACAGTTCCTAATTCCATGATGTTTATTCTCTAAGAAGAAAACAAATGCATGAAACAATAAATAACAGGTTAAATAATCGAGGACAACAGTACAGGAGGTGGCATCAGATGACAAAGGGCAAAGTGTTAAGTAAGTAGCATGAATCAAGTGTGAGTTGACTTCAGAGAGAGGGAGGATAACTGAAACAGGCATAGACAGGGCTGTGCATTTCAGCCTAACTAGAGTAGAAAAGCTGCTACCTAGAATGGCTAAGAAGGCGCCTTCCTGAGATCAAGACCACCCTGGCCAACATGGTGAAACCCTGTCTCTACTCAAAATACAAAAATTAGCTGGGCGTGGTGGTGTGTGCCTGTAGTTCCAGCTACTCAGGAGGCTTAGGCAGGAGAATCGCTTGGACCCAGGAGGTGGAGGTTGCAGTGAGCCGAGATTGTGCCACTGCACTCCAGCCTGGCGACAGAGCAAGACTCCGTCTCCACATAAAAGGGCCTTCTCATTTCTCATTTTTTAATGCTTCAGAGTTGAAGACTTTGCTGTTTCCTCTGGTCTGAGATCTTTGTCACTTTGAGCCACTATAACAAAAATGCCATAAACAGATGACTTAAACAATTTATTTCTTACAGTACCAGAGGCTGGAAGTCTGAGATGAGGATGCCAACACGGTGTCAGGTTCTTGGTGAGGGCCCTGTTCCTTGTTCACAGAAGCTGCCTTCTGTGTCCTCACATGGCAGAAAGTGAGCATCTCTCTTCTGTCTCTTCTAAAAAGGTCGCTAATCCTATCATGAGGGCTCCACTGTCTTGAGCTTATTACCTCCCCAAGTTCCCCACCTTCTAATACCATCACATTGGGATTAGAGGTTTAACATGAATTTGAGGGGGACATACCCAATTAATAGCATCTGAGTTATTATAAATCAATGCTTTCAGCACTGAAGATCAGGCTATAGGGTGATCACAAAGTGAAAAACCTGTATTCTGGAAACAGAGAAGAAAGACAAATAGTTTAGAAGCAGAGATGACTTTGGGAGAAAGCAGCAATAATTTAATAACAGAGAAAAGAAAATCCAGCTTTTATTGGACTCCTACATTGCCAGGTACTTGCGCTAAATGACTGTCATGCATCAACCATCTCATTTAATTCAAACAACAGTTCATTAGGTAAATGTAGTCAAACCTCCACCTTACTACCTGTGAAAACAGAAGCTTTATAAGGATACGTGTAAGCTTAAAGAAGTTGCCCAATTCAAATCCAGGGAGGTCTACAGGGTGGAGCCTCCTCATTCATAAATCGCGACGCCTGGCCTGCCTGATCATCCCTCAGTTTCCTTCTTATTCTCATACACTTTGAGTCAGCGAGGAAACCACAGAGGAACCCAAAGAACGAATATGAGTGGAGGAACCTGTGGGGCCAGTGTGTCCCAGGCGCGGACAGGGAGGGGCTCCATGAAACGCAGCAAGGTTTGGCCAGAGCCGGCTAGGGTCATGGAGCCTCTCCCGGCTTCCTCGGGCCACTATAATTACAGAGTCTGTGGTAGGTTGCGTGGAGGAGCTGTCTCGGGGCGGGAAGCTTCCCTGCGTATTGTATTTGCCTATAAATACTTCAAATAGTTAAGTGAAATGTGCAGCCTTTGAAAACTGGAGAGGAAGCCGTTGGGAGGCCCCCCGCCCGGCCCGCCGGGAAGAGCAGGCAGAGAAATGGCTGGCGCGTTCTGAACGCGGGAGACGAGCTTCGGCCCTGCCCAAGCCAGATGGGGGCAGCGAGGCTGCGGGCGTGACTCCGGAAGACTCAAACCGTTAAGGTAACCGGAGCAATTTGAAAAAGGAAACAAACTTCCCCCGAGCCGTGCCCGCGTGGCTCCGGGGCGGGCAGTTGCGTTCGAAAGGGCATTTTTCAAAAGAAGGGTTTCAGGGACGCGGGGGTGTGGGCCCCCCGGGAGGCGCGCGGCCGGAGCAGTGCCGCAGAGCGGCCACCAGCCCGCTTTGTACTCGCGGCCAAGCGCGGCCCCAGAGTTTCGGCGGCGGCCAGAGTTGAGGCCACGCCCTCTTTGCAGTGAGAGCCGCGGCCACGGATTGGCGCGCCGTGGACCAATGGGTGCGCCGGGGCGGCCCCGGCTGTCAGCGCGCGCCGCAGCCGCGCCTGCCGCAGCCTGTCCTCCCCTGCTCTGAGCCCCGCAGCCGGCGCAGCCTTCCCGGGAAGCGCGGCGGCCGCTCCCGAGCGCAGCCCAGCCCGGCCCGCCAGCCGCGCGTCCCGGCGCCCGCGCCCCACGGCCACAGCCTAGCCGCGCTCTAGCGCACGGAGCATGTGCAGACCCGCAGGCGCTAAGGTGCTGTCTGTCCGGGCGCCTTCTGGGCAGCGGTGACTGTCACTCCAAGAGAGACCTTTCGGGGGCTCTCGCCGCGCCTCTGCTGCGTCGCGGGTGACACTGCGGTGCTCGCGAGCAGGGCGGCAGCTGCCTCTCGGTGGAGACGTCTTGGGCCCCGTGTGCCCTTCTCTCCTTCCTTCGCTGCTCGCTCCTTTCCTCCCACGGCTGCTCTCTCTTTCCCTCGCCAGCTCAGACCCGTAGCCTCCGGAGCGGGACTCGTGCGTCCCTGCCGCCTCTGTCTCTTCCAAAAGGGCCTCCTCACTTCGGAGACGCAATGACAAGTTAATATGGGCGTCCAAACCTCTGTTTCCCAGGAGGAAAATTGCAAGAGGCGGCAACCCCTGAGCGCCCAGAGCTCTTGAAAGGCCACCCAGGAGGGGCTTGAGACCCGGCTGCAGCATCCGTCCAGGTGGGACCCGCTGGGCGCCGTGGCCAGTCCCCCATTCCCATCCCGGCACCCCAAAGGCGCGCTCGCCAGATTGCTTCGAGTTCCCCGACCTGGGGATTTTTTCTTTCGCCGCTGGTGGTGGGCGCCTCGTGGGCTAAGGCCCGGCGCCTGCTCTGCTACCCGCGCTGCCTTTAGCGGTCGCCCCCGCCGCCGCTGCCAGGGACGTGCTGGGAAAGCCCAAGCCCCGGGAGAAGATGCCGGCCATCCTGGTCGCCTCCAAAATGAAGTCGGGACTGCCCAAACCCGTGCACAGCGCCGCGCCCATCCTGCACGTGCCCCCGGCCCGGGCCGGCCCCCAGCCCTGCTACCTCAAGTTGGGAAGCAAGGTGGAGGTGAGCAAGACCACCTATCCTAGCCAGATCCCCCTGAAATCGCAGGTGCTGCAGGGGCTGCAGGAACCAGCGGGGGAGGGGCTCCCGCTTCGGAAGAGCGGCTCGGTGGAAAACGGGTTCGATACCCAGGTGAGAGGTGCCCTGTGCCGGGGGTACTGTTCTGGGAGGATGGGCAAATACTTCTTTCCGGGTGATGTGGGAGAAAGGGCCTACCATGTGGGCAGGGAAAGGAACCATTCCCCTTAGGCCGACAGGTTGGGGGATGCGCGAGGAGAGTGGGCCGGCCGGTGGGTGTGGCCCGGGTGCCCGAGGTTTGCCCAAAGAGCCCTTTGAGAACTGGGATGGGGGGAAGGCCGGCAACATCTTCCTGGGGAGGATGGCATGATCGGGGTGTTCTCAAAAAACATGTGCACCGCTGGAAATGTGAGGTCCTGCATGTTGAGGTCTTGTCCTCAAGAAGCCAGTATCCGCAGCAACAGCTGTGTGTGTGTCTGGCGATTCCGCAGAGATTCTGTTCCGGACAAGGAATGATCTGAGGCCCCATTGGGTTCGACGCCGCCCCCTAGCCTGGCTGTAAGATCCAGGAAAAGGGGGTCGGGGGGTGGCAGTGAACCTGCTCTCCCCTTGGCTTGAAGATGGCCTGTCCCTGCCCCATCCTGCTGGGTGACGGGATTCCAGGCAAGGTGCTGGGGCTGCGGTACTAGTGCACCAGCAGAACGCCTTGGCTGGCTGTTGCGGTGGGGGTGGGGGTGGCTGCCTCAGAATGGCGGCTGAAGCTAAGCCCCTCCTTCCTGGGTGGTAGATCCTGGTGTTGGTAGCCCAAGTGACTGGGGGTGGGGACAGGAGATGGCTTGAAGAGAATTGGTGACTCCTACCTTTCCAGTCAGAGCCTGCATCACCCAATTCGGCAGGGTAACAAGCCCTGCCCATGCAATCTCTTACAGAAATTAGCAAGGGCCAGTCAGGTTCTCTTGGCCCTCCCTGCTCCATTTCCCCCTACTTCTGGTAGGAGGGGGCTATATTTTCTTGGCAGTCAGTTAGCAGGGACTTCTGGGGACATGCCGACCTGACGGATGTGACTGTCCGGTCAGGAGAGGCGGGAAGCCAGAGAGGGAGGTGGTTTGGGGCTGGTGTCAGGAAAATGGCAACAGACCAACTGACCTTTTTGGCACTTACTTCCCTGCTGACACTGTCTCCACCTTCTCCTGGAGCTTTCTCTGATCAGAGGCTAGAGCTCAACACATTCCTAGGCTTTCTGATGGGGAAACTGGAGCTGAAAGCTAATTGTAAGCAGACTTTTGTAACTCTGGGCTGGAGAAGGCCCTCAAAGCAGATTAAGCTCCCACACCAGGCTGATAAGCATGCCCCTTGCTGCTGCACTTGCTAAACATTTTTGGAAGCTGACAGGTTTGAGTGATGGTGTGTGGGAGGAAGGCAAGATTTCCTCCAGGGCTCTGGGGGCCTGCCTCTGTGAGGGTTTTGTGCTCCAGTCTTCTTCGGTTGTTAGGTACAGGATTTGTCCAGTGGGCTCTGCAATGGGGGTGAGCACCAGCGTACATATCTGCATGGGGTTCTCCTTTATCTGTGGAGGTAGGGTTTATGAGATGTAGTGGGCAGTAGTGGGTGGGAGGTCAATACAGTGACTCGGAACTGGAGGTGACACATACTCTCGAGCCTGATGAGGAGCACCCGAGGAATGAGAGGGGAAGTCCATGCTGGGATTGTTCATATCCAGGCAGCTGTTCTGCCTTTGCCTGTTTGACCCTTCATTTAACAAACATTGTCAGAGGACTGGCAGTGGATAGGCTCTGGTAAGGTGATTCATCACCCTCTCCCTGAAAAAACAATGTTCTTCAGCTTCTCCCTGGGGGCCTGGAACAGTCCACTTCCCCCAAGACTTTGCTTCCCTCTTTTGCCCTTGGTCTGTCATCTCCCCACCCCATTCCACTCTGTCACCCTCAGTTGGCCCTTGTGCACTCATGGTGAGCACAGTTTGGATAGACTGCTAAGAAAATTGGTCACTTCCAGTGGACTACCTTGATTTTTACCAGCCTGCTGTCCTTTGCCAGTGCCCAGGGGTTCTGGGGATCTTCCCTGTGGCAGATTCCTGTCTGCATGGCTGACATCAAAGTGATTTTGGCCAATGGGATTTTACCTTCTTTGCCAGGGCTTCTCCCACAGTCTGCCTGATGTGGTGTCCGTTCCCCCTCCAGAAGAGTCTCTTGGTTATTGCATGAAGACTGTGTCTGACTGGCCATCTGGTAGTTTCCAGGTTCCAAATCTGGTATATATTATTAGAAAATACTCAGGAAGCAATGAAGTAAATGGCAAATGCTCTCTTGGGGTCTCTGACTCCCCTTTTATTCAGGGGATTTTTGGTAGGAGGTTGGGTTGTGTAGTGGCTGATAACACAGGTTTTAAAGTCAGATGGGTATTGGTGGTGTCCTTTGTCATATACTAGCTGGGTGATCTCCTTGATTAACTTCTTTGGGTTTTAGTGCTATCATCTATTAAAAAATAAGCATTAACAGCCACTAGAACTGTGAGCATTAAGAAAAATAACATGTGAAGTATTCAGTGCAGTGTCTAGCAAGTAAGGAATACTTAATAAAAGTAGCTATTTATATTGCTAACCTAAGAGATAGGGCATGCTGAACCTAGATTTAATAGCCCTTAGGTGAGAAAAGATATAGCTTATTCTCTCAAGCCCCTGGAAAGGTATTAATCTGTTCCAAGGATTTATAGAACATCCATCACCTGCCTAGTACAGTACCAGGCAGAATGGGAAGATGAGGCAAGGGCATGATCACTTTCTGAGTGTCTGATGGGTGAGGCTCTTTACGTATAATCTCATTTCATCTTTACAAAAACACTTAAATCAGGTCTGATACATCCATTTTCTATGACAATAACAACATAGTAACAATAATAACAATGGTAATAATGGCCAAATCCTTACATAGCACTTCCTATGTGCCAGCAGTTGTTCTAAGGACTTTACATTAAAAAACTCATTTTTTTCTTATCACAATCCAGTGACATAAGTGTTATTATCCCCATTTTACACATATGGAAGCTGAGGCAAAGACCAGTTTTGTAACCTTGTGAGTAGCAGAGGTAGAACAGAACTTGGACAGTCTGGCTCTAGATCCCATGCCTTTAACCATGATGCTGTACAGGGAGAACCACAGAGACTGTCTTCGAAATTGCAGGCTCTGATTTATGAGACCATTGCTGTAACCACTGAGCTAGATGAGGTTCAGCAAAGTACAGCCACTTGATCCAGGTCATCCAGGGTGGCAGGGCAGGGAGTCCAGCAAGGTTGGTCTGGCTTTAAGGCCTGCGGTCTGCCCACTCTTCATTGCTGCCTCTTCTCTTCATGCTCTAGCAGATCTACAAGGCAAATAGGACATGGCCTGGGTCTTGGGGATTTTATAGTCTAGTTGGGAGGCCTCACTGATATACCTAGGGCTACAGGGCACAACACAGGGAGGCCTCAGAGGCATACTTGGGAGCTGAGTATCTAAGCTGCTTGAAGGAAAGGCCAAGATGGCTGGAGAAGTCCGGAGAACCTATGGAGGAGAAAGAAGATGAGCTTGGTTTGGGAGATGGGAAGGAGTGACTGATGAGGAGGAGAGGAGATCAGAATGAGCGTGACAGTGGAGAATGAAGAGCAAGGTCGCGGAGCGGTGCCGAGCATTGATGTTGCTTCATGCAACAAGTTGTTGTTCCAGATCTGGCATCTTCCTTTGAAAAAGGTGATGAAAAGAAAGGACAAAAGCTTTGAGTTGAAGGATTGGATTTGCATGTTGGCTTCCTGGTGGATCATCATTCTGAATGTGCAAGGTAGTGTGAGAAGAGGCAGAGAGGGTGTCCATTAAGGACCTGATTCATAACAGATCCCTGGGAAATGACGGTGATTATTAGCTTGGGGTTCAGAATATTCAATGTGGTAGTTACAGGGGAAAGGAGGCTATTCTGCCACCTTGTTTTATTATGCAGCAACTCTCTTCAGCCAGTGACATCCCATTGCCTGCTCTTCATCTCCATCAAGTGTGAAAAAACCTAGCAAGCAGCTGTTAGGTACAGCCCTACTGTCATCACCCTTCCTCCAGGCCCTTACCTTGAGTCTCTCCCATAAACCTGCAGCTGGTTCTCCTCCCTCCCCCAGTGGAGGAAACTGTTCTGCAGCAGCACACCTCCCCTGAATTACCTTCCTAGGACTGAGATACCTGTGCCTTCCCCCAAGTGTGAACATTTATAGCATCTGCTCTGTTAACATGTGAATAAATTAGGACCATGTGCAAAGAGTTGTTTTAAAAACATGCTCTGGGTTTGTTCAGAAACCCTCTCTGGCTGACCTTCAGATAAGGAACATGCCTGAGTTATTTGAGGAGACGTTTGCCTATTTTTAAGAAGCAGTTGCAAGGAAAAAAAGAAAAATATATACATATATAAAATATTTTGATATTTCCTGTTTTTAGGAGCTGGTGTTCAACTTGCACCTAGTTTCTTTTAAAAAAAAGTAATTAGAAGTGATTGAAATTCTCCGTGGGTGTTTTGGATGTTTAAAAAGAAAGCGTAAAGGAGGCTCCTGGGAAGAGTGCAGCTCCAGGCTTACAACCTGTGGCAACTTTGCTCCATTGTGTTTTGATTAGAATCCTTGTTCCATCATCAAAGTTGATTATGGATTTGATTAGTGCATTTTTCTGCTATTGTGTTACTCCCTTTCTTCTCTTTCTCAGTTCTTGGAGGGGAATGTATAGCATGGTTATCTGCCAACATGCAAGAATGTTTATGGTTCACATATTATTGCTTATTTCATGGGTTAATTTTCTAAAGACACTTTAAGGGTGGTACTGGTGGCTTATTTAGGGTAACATTACGTGTGTATATATCTGTATATAAATACATCTACTTCTGGATATGTGTATATATGCATATATACACACACATACACAAATATATACACATGGAACAGCTTAAAGTATTGAGCACATGTAAGCACACACACACATCAAAGGCGAGGCTGGAGGAGTTACGGCCCAAATTCTAGCTTTCAGAATAGCTAGGTTTGCTTTCCACTTGTCATTCTGTCTTCCTCTGTGACCACAATCTGAAGCACCAAATCTGGGTCCCATATTATTTACTTATAAGATATAAGGGATGTAGCCTCCAGAGAGGTGTTTTCATGAGGCCCTAGTGAAGCTCTTGGAACCATTCTGAAAAAGCCAAACCACCCAGCAAGATTTTGGCTTAAGGTCAGAAATTCTTATTTCTCAGAATCTGCCTCAGCAGCAGGGAAGGGAACATTTATGGAGCATCTGCTATGTGCCAGGTAGTCTGCGGAGCTCTTTATATAGATATTATTTAATGTGAGGCACAAGAAGCTGGGTAAAATGGAAAACGGTCTATACATTTTGTGTAAGGAAGCAGAGGCCAAGGGAGGTTATCACTTGGAGGCAGTTTTACGTGGTAAATTAGACTTTATCAAGAGGTCAGAGTTTGCATCCAGGCTTTGGGCAAATTATGGAACATCCCTAAACTTTAGTTTCATCATCTTTGAAGCAGCATTGGTGATGCTTACAGGTTGGGGGTGAGGGTTCAGTGAGATATTACAGGTAGGTTCCTGAGCACAGCGTATGGCACATACTAAGCAAGGGATATGCAGTATTGCCTATTTTTGTTACTCAAGGTCAGATTCAAGTTTGGAAACTATGTCTGCCTCATTTCAAGCCCATGTGCTTTCCACCCTACCTCTCTGCCTCCCAAGTACATAGCTGATTACATGGAAAGACAGATGGCTTGC